CGACTTGCGATCAGAGTCACGGAACGGATTAAGTTCGTAAGTAGAGGTACCACTGTAATCTGTGATTCATTATAGTTGCTTAAATTATTTTAGTACTGCCTTTTAACTTTCTTCAATACTACTCTCGGTTCTTGGATTCTCTGAATGGTTCCAGTCCAGCCTCCAGCTGAAGCTTTACAAGAACTGAAATGGAATATTCGTCTGTTTTGCTCAAGTCATGGAAATCCAAGGCAGGATCAACGAATGTGATCTATCTTCCCTCAGTGCATTAATGAAAGCAGCTGTTTCTTTATTCCATCCTGTTCCATCCATTGACAACTTTTTTTAGTTACTCCCACTCATTCTCAGCATATTATTACTATCTGATTATTCTTTGGGCATTCCACATGAGGGGTTTCCATGAATTCAGAATAAGCTCTGGAATAGTATCATTATTTTGTCTTGGGGAGCTGAGTCTATTTTTTTTCCATCATTCACCAGATTATTTGAAATCAGACAAAAACATTTTTTTTTCTTTGCACTTCTTCAGCTTTGCAAAATTGTAGACAATTTGTTTTCTCACTAATGGGAACTCTTGTTTCATCTTTGTTCCTGGGCTCCTCTCCCCCACGTGGTTTTCCTAGTACCTGTCTATAGATATTGTTTAGAACATAACTCCCCCACTGCACTACTACTAAAATTATTAGGAAATGTACATGACTGTAAAATTGTTGACATGCTGTCATTTCACCTTCAAAGCTTGCAAGAGAATTCAGGACGAATGACAGCTTTGCATCCAAGAAGCTTCCTCTCATAGGCATCACCAGATGTGATGATTTTTAATTTCATGTGCAAAATAGTTTTAAATGTAAAAAGACTGGAGGGAGGATTACAAGGTTTTGGTGCTTTAGATCAGCTTTAGTTTGGAGGTAAGGCGTTGGCTGAATAATGTTCTTTGCACTCTCGTGCCTGTCAGCTAGAAGTAGCACTTGTTGGTTTTTAGTGTTCTCCATGTTTCAAGTTTCAGTCCAGCTTTCTATGCTTTGTGAGGAACTTTGGATTTGAAACCATACTATTAAAGCCTTCTATAGAAGAACCATCTGTCTCATCTGCCCTCCTGTCCAAGCTTCATTCAGTATCTACTCTTCTCTCAGTTTTCCCTTTGTCCCCTGTTTATACTCCACTTTCCTTCCTTGCCCAAGGGTTCTCTGTCTTCTCAATCTTCAGCTCCATTCTATTTGGCTCTAATCCTGATCAGATTGGTTGGACTTTTTTGCCTGTTTGCTGGAATGAAAACTATTCAGCTACTTGAGCAAATGAATTCCATTTCATTCCATCATGTGAACTAAGCTAATCGATATAAGAGGCTTTATCATAACAGCAATACAATATAAAAGCAGCAGAAACCACCACATAGTGATTTTTAGTCTCATAATTTTCACATATTCTGCACACACTGGTAAATTATCAGTTATCATGCAATGATGCTGAAACAGCTTTTGCTATGACAGTAATATATAGAGATGTTTTCCAGTGTGTACATTCTCATCACAGAGGCCATCAATAAAATTGGTGCCTTTAAAGGCATGTTTTGCTAAGTCTTCTTACATTTTGAACAAATACTGCCTTCCCATTTTTTGAAGGGTTGTATTTTGGGAGTCAGTGCTTCAAATATGTGAGAAGCTGTCTCATTTTGAGACATGCTTTCAAATGAAAAGGTGCTGAACTTTATCTTGCCTCCCTTTTTCTTGCATTTTGAAACCACATACTTCTATCATAATTACTCATTTTTTTTCCCTTTCAGTGAACTCAGTAGACTCCAAAATGCATATATATTTTTAATGCCAGTGTTAGTATCCGTGCTAATGTGGCAATGCTGTCTCCATTATGATGAAGCATAACAGTCTGGCACGACTAAGACATGACACTGAGGCTATTTCCAGCAGTTACACATTTATTAAATGTATACAATGACTCATTCAAAAATATTTCATATGCAGTTTATTTTTTAAAAAATTAAAGAAAATACAGTATTAGAAATAGAATCATTTTAACAATATGTCCAATACATTACAGAATAAACTTTTCTTCTAACAGAATTGAAATAAAATAGCTGGCTACCCAGAATCAAAAACTGCATTATACAAGACTGCAGGATTTTTTAAAACCAGAGGAATCGTATAAATGTCTTACATATTTTCCTAAGGATGTGTTGCTTTAAACAAGTATAAAGCATTTCAAGATATAGTCATTTCTAAGAAATATTTCATGCAGTTTGACTAGATTTTAAAAAGGCAAGAGAAGCCCCTTGAATTATTTCCTTGATACAGTCACAATTGTCTTGAACCATACAGGTCCTGCTTTACAGATGGTTAGCTAAGTGGAGAGATGCTTGTGCAGATTAACTTCCAAGTGGTAACCATTGTTTCTAGGATAAATTGGAAATAAATCCTCCGCTTTTATCACACTAGGGTCAAAATTTCCATTCATATCTGACAATATACAATTCTGTGATGACTTTAGTAACCCAAACAATTAAAAACTAATTGGGCTATAAGCAAATAGACAATGTGCTTCCCATCTGACTGATTCTGAATAGAGAGGGGGAAATGTGTAAAGAAATATAGAAAACATGCTATAGTATTCTATCTTTTCATCAAGGATTCAGCCATGAAGAAGGCCATTACAACAGCTACCTAGTCATTGCAATTTTTCATACTGCGTTAAAAATCTTTTAACACCACCGTAATTACAAAGGAAATTGTATCATATATATATTTCCAGCCACTGTTTATATGTCTCTCTCATATGGCGCTATAGACAAGTTAACAAACACTTACTTCATTCATAACTACAGATACAACAGTGCAGCACCCCATCACAAATCATCTAACATCATCTTCTAAGTGCCTATAAAGCATTGGTATCAAACCAGGTCACTGTATTCTTGATCATTATTGGCTATTCACTTAGCTAGCAGAGAAATATACCTCATTTCCTCAATAATAAAATAAACCTCAACAAATAAATGTTTTTCTGTAACCAAACATCTAGCCATGTTACATATGGGCAGAAGGGGTACCTTGATCCCTATTTTTGCCAGTAGAGGTATCAGAGAAGACTGCATTCTAACTCCGTTTTAATTTATTTGTTAATGACCTGGCTTCAGTTCTCTGATTTGTGAATTGCATTTTCCTAAGATGTCTTTTATAAGAATTCTGTTATCTTTTGCCCATGATACAGTGCTATTGCCTAGTTTAACCTGAACTACATGCTTTTGGACTGATGATCCATATATTTACAAACATTTGCAGAAATAGAAAATACAACTTAACAGAAATGAATTTGGGTAACTGACTATGAAATATCTTTCTGTGGTCTGAATGGTGAAAGTAGGCAATTGACAGGTTCTTTTTCTTTTACATAAGAAAAAGATTTCTTATGTATTTAAAAATTTACTTATGTAATCAAGTCTCAACTATCTTTAGCATTCTAATATGGATTTCTAGCTTCCACTTTCAACTAGAAAAGATCCAATCTAGATGCTTGATAGAGATGCTGAATTTTCCATTTTGTGCAGGAGACATGCCCATATATTACTGTATGATCAGTTGAATGAATATATCAGGGAAATACCCTGACACATGCGAGATCTTTCTGTAGTTCTATTCAGGTATTCCTTTCTCATTCATTTGTCAGTTGGTTATGAAAAAATGATTCTTATACTGAGTTTCTCTCTTGAGGCTTAGGATAATTATAACCTAAGAAAGATTCATCTCTCTATTACAGCATCTGAGAACTACAGTTGATAAGTCTTGCTCTCGTCTATCTTTAAGTAACCTTTCAGGTTGTCAAGAGTCCCCCAAAATTCACACATTAACTGTTTCCAAATGAAGTAGAACATTTATGGTGCTTGTTTGCTTGGTTTAATATGCTGATGTCTGGCTTACTAACTGGCTGATTGAATAACATTTCACTCAGTGAATAACTTTGTCTTTGAGGAATGAAGGAAATAAGTCTGTTGTTGCCCATGTTCTTTTATGTTGCAGTTATATAAATAC